TGTGTGTATGGGTATACATATATATGAATAAACAAGTAATAATTCACTTAAAGTTTACATGATTTGCTCATTGCCAGACCTTTTAGCTTCCAGGAGAATATCATAGAGTTATAAATCCTTATACACAATAAATTATGTAATAGATCTTGATAGAGACAGATAAGAAGGAAGAGGAGGAAGAGGAGGAAAAAATGAAACTACGTCAACTTATTGACATAAAGACAGAAGAAAATGACAAACTGAGATCATCTGTGATCCATGTTCTTTAACATTGCACCTCTCACTGATGAAGCCAAAACACATTCTGTTTTGTTTCAAACATTAATCTACATGTGGATATATAGGTAGACAGGCTGAGTGATCAGGTATGTCTAGGCAAAAGGGAATATACCCATGACCATATATAAGACCATGTATGCGATGATACTTCTACATATGTATATGTATGTCTGCTAACGAGAAGGCTGGTGGTTCAAACCCACCAGCCACTCCTCGGAAGGAAGATGGGGCAATGTACTTCCGTAGCGATACTGCCTTGGAAACCCAAGGAGGGGTCGCTATGAGTCAGGCCCAACTCGATGGCACATAACAACAACAACATTAATAAGAATGTCTATATATACAATAGTGCTAACAGAGGGCAAAGTTATGATAACTTCTAAGCCACAGTCAACCACCCTGAGGCAGCCTTATTGGACCTTTGGGCTCCAGACTATGGTCGTGGGGGACATCAAGCTCAATTGGCATAATATACAACACAAAACATTATTCTACATCCTGCTTTGGGAAGCAGTGACTGTGGTCTTAAAAGCTTGCAAGAGGCCATCTAAATCCAACAATTGTCTCATTGGGAGCAAAGAAGAATGAAGAAAACTAAAGGTACGTGGAAACAATTAGTCGAAGGGATTAGTGGATCATGCAAATCTCAGCCTACATAACTGTGGGACCAGAACTAGATGGTGCCCAGCTACCACCGTCAACCACTCAGAAAGGAGTAAATGTAGGAGAAAAAATGTGGAACAAAACTCAAAACTAAAAAAAAAAAAAAGGCTTACTGGTCTGATACAGACTGGTAAAACCTCAAGATTATGACCCTTAGTCACCTACTGGATCTGGAATTGAACTCACTCTTGTGGCTTCTAGCCAAACAATAGACAGGAGTATAAGGTGAACATTTACA